TTCATGTTTTCATATTTGAAAATATGTTTTCAGATAAAACAGTAACTTGTACATCGTGTATTGTACTTTATTCATTTCTAACATGTTTCATACGATGATAGTATTGGTTCTAAGTATATATCGTTTAATATAAATTTAAGTTTCAAATTTTATTTCAAATTCGTTCGTTGATAAATTAAAAAAGTCGATACATCAATGAGATTATGAGCAAAAGGTTTAGGAAATTTATTTTTCTCATGCTCGTTAATATTTTCTTGTAAAATTAAAAATAAACTTTTTTCGTTTAAGTAAATAGTCAATACTAAAGGAGTCCTATTTCACGTTTTAAGTACAAAATGTTACAGTTTTAAATACTTAAAAAGTTCAGAAAAAGTAAAATGAGGAAAATTTGACAGTGTATAAAATTTTCCTTTATTTGACAATATGTAGTGAAAAATTAACTATAGATTCCATTTGTGCCTGGTAAAAAGAACCATTGCATTTTATTTTATTTGCTGTGACTAATTGAATCATCTAAGACAGTGGTTTTCAAACTATAATGTTTAATACAAAAGTTAAAGAATTCAATTTATTCTTTATAAAGGGATGTGTTTTATAATTTTTCTTTTTTTATAAATTTTTGTTTATCAAATGGAATAGAGTTTGAGAGTCACTGACTTGAAACTATTTTTTACTGAAGAATGAAAGAAATGATATAGACAGACTGTTATGCGAGCTGCAGCTCTCACGTTTGTAAACATGTTCGATTTACGGACTTATGAGAAACTAAAACAGTCACATTGGCTTCCTCTTAACTGCTACTTTAATTTCTTACGATATACGTGATTTAATGTATTTAATATTGGCATATTGTTCTTATTTTCTTATTTAAAAGGAAAAGAAAAAAAACTGAAATTTATTTTTCACAGCAAAATTTTGAATGAAATATGTATTTTATTCTACGGACTAAAAATTTATATTTTCAGCATCTATTTTTTGCATTTGATATAACATCTGTGAATTGAAATCTTTTGTTTCTTCATTAACAAAAAATTACTCATTAATATTGATAATGTTTCGTAAATGTGATACAAAATTTGGTCAAATTGAATATATTGATCAAGTTCTAATTTCATTACAGTATAGTGATCTATGCATTACAATAGTTTTTGGTTTCTCCTATTTTTTATGAAATAATGTATAGTATAGATATTGATGATTCCAGTTTTAGTGGAAATGACGTTATAGACTTTTATGAAATGTAGAGATCAAAGAAAGTTAATCCTTCTATCTTTTTCTTTGAAAATATTGTTTTACCTTACTACACAGAACTAGATATGTTCAAGTAAAATATTTCTTTCGATCTAAAAATGTGCCTTTTTGATCATGCAGCAACACAAAGCCATGTAAAAACATTTCTTCAGATGCACATATTATTATTTTCAGTACTTCCGAATTCTGCAATATATGAGGCACATTACTCTCAATTATGGAAAGAAATGTAATTTAGAACATAACTAGTTTTTTATAAAAATTACGAACAATGGTGCAATTTTATTTCTTTTATTACTTACCGATAAAAGTTTCTTTCGTTTCTCATGGAATATCACGAAATATAAAAGTATGTGTAAAAATTGCAAGAGATATTAATTTATTCTACTCCAGTGTATTGATATGTGTTCTTAATTTAAAGTGCGGTTACGCTACTTTTAGTCACGTGGAGTAAGAACAATTTCACACACAAATCTATCGGTGTCTAATATTTTTGTTACAAAATATTTAACATGCAAATGTTAGACTATTTTTGTTCTACATTGGAGGTATCATTGGTATTGATTATTGGGAAGTATCATTGGTAGATTCGAAACTATATTTATATGTTTGAAAGATATGTTAGAAACTTTATTATTTATTTTGTTACTGGTTTCACAGATAAAACTATGAAATCTTAAAAAATTTATGTAGTACAAATTTTTTATTATGACTATGAAAACTTAATTTCCAATCACTATACATTTATCATAAGGTTGTAGTTTAACATTGCAACACAGAATTGGCCATAGTACTGAAGAAAATGTGTGACAATATTGCAGAAAGGGGCCATCTTTTGATTTCTCATTATGGATGTTGTAATAATAGTATACAGAAATTGTACTTCTGATATCAAAGTAGTTCTTTACATGTTGAATCAAGACTTAAAATTCTTTCTTGTATGAGAAATACACAATCACATAATCAAATGGCAATAAATTTATAGGCTTGGCAAACTGTTTAAATTTCTATTCTAACTATGTTACAGGGCATTTTAGTCTGAACACAGAACCGAATGTTGAAAATTGAACGTTCCTTTCTGTAAATGGACGTCTTCACAGTTTATTCAGATACAAAATAGATATTTGTAAAAATATTAATTCCATAAACTTCTGTTTCAAATTGTTTTTGATATTTTAAGTAATTCCTTTACACATATGATGAAAAAGTTTTGTGAACCTTAAATATTTCTACTGTTTAAAGGAATTATGATTAATAATCTTTCTAATGATCCATTTATAAGATGTTGCCCATAAATTTTTTTTTTCCGGTTTTTTTATTTGTTTTTATTCGTAGTATGACTCGTTAATAAATATAGAGAGTAAAAGCGAAGAGGGCTGTGTACACTGGGAAGTAATAAGCGCAACAATACTGTTTGTGCAAGCTTCAGATTAATTGCATGTTAAACATGTCACTATGTGTATAATAATACACACGTACCTATGTTAATGGTATGAAGCCACATACAATTTATATTAACGTTCTTTGTTTGAACATAATGAAACAATAATAATTATATACATATCGGTATATAATGCATATAGTCAGCAAGCACTTGGCACTTAGCAGTACTAATAGTACTTTTGTGACACTTATGTTAAATTAATTCCTGATTGTAAAATTTTTGTTACATTAGCTATTAACATAATGGGCAATGCATGTATGCACTTCCGAATGATTATAATTAAAAATTACTGAAATCATGTGGTATAAAATCCAAAGTCTGTTTTGTTTGTTTTGTTAAGTTCACATAGAATAGCGTTACCATGTCTAATTATTACCACATATTTGTATTGCCTACTGTGTTTAATGTAATTGTTAGTCTGGCATTTTTAATGTATTTTTCTAAAATAAATAACTATAGAAAAAGTTGCATTATAATATACACATGTGATACATTCACAGTAATACTTATTACCCCAATTTCGTTCACTATTCAGAAATACAGAAAAACAAGTAAGAGATTTGTACTATTCAATATCATGTCTCATATTATCACATTCGTATAGTTGCAATTAAAAACTTGGTTTTTGAAAATATTCGATCTTTTGTTGAAAAATACTTTAAGAAGTGCTTAGAATAATGTATTGTGTTACGTTTTATCAATGCATGTAAGCACAAAATACAATGAATTTTAGATATGAATGCTTTGACAATAGTAAAATTGTTGCATTGAAATAAAATTCTTCGAACATTTTGCATTGTCTATAAACATTCACAAAAGTTTAATGTATTTTCTAAAAAGTGTACTGTAAGTGAAAGTGTAATATATTTATCTATTCAATATAAATGCGACTTAGTTTTTATTGTGATATTCATTCCTATCTCTCAAGTAAAATAAACTTATATAGTGCGAATTCAATAAATATTTAGTATTGAAATTCAAAAATTACCGCGTAATGAGGTAATCATTCATTCTCAAAATCCGTTTTATCGATCGAAATCACGTGAAAATGTTTCTCAAGGTTTTTACTAGATGGTGTTACCTGTCACTGTCAACTATGTAGCAGGACGTTGCAGCGGCATCAAACTTTAGTTGTGCGTAGACAGTTGTTCTGTTCTAAACGTGGGGAAAGCTAGTACAGTACTGCTTTGTGCAATAAATACATGGTCGACCTAGGTGTGATCGTTCAATAGAAAAGGGTGTGGAGATTCGGAACATTGCAAACGCATGCTGTTCATTTTTATAGCGTGAAATTTAACGAAACCGTTATTAAATTTGACAGTGCGGCAGACACGCATGATTACGTTTTCTTCTTGATAGAATGTGCGCGAATACTCGAAAAATCAATGTCCGCCGTTAAATAGTTACCACGTGTGTGCAGTTATGAATTCCCTCGTAAGCGTGTGTATCAGTCGAAACACTACACGCAGTGGTTGTACTGAGAGTCAGCAAGTGGTTCACAACACGTGTATGCTCGGCAAGTAAAAAGAAAAGAGAGCGACAAATAACGTTGCTGCGCGTGAATATTCGAAAAAGGATTTTTTGATATTTTGTAATATAAGAAGTGACAGAATAATGCCCGACGGTCGAGGAAGCGCGATACATGGCGTAATGCCACCGCACTATCTACACGAGTTGCCGGCAGAAGATGAGGAGAGGCTCGAAAAGATATTTCAGAATTTAGATCTGGACGGGAAAGGGAGAATCGACGTAAAAGATTTGTCTAAAGCGCTTCGTGAGGTTGGAGTCGACAAATACTATGCGGAGGTACGTGTAATTCTATAATTCGTACTCCGCTATGAAAATATTCGCAAACGTTACGATCGAACCGCGTAATACGGATGTATGCGACTTTCTAGTTTCGATTAGAAGTAAAAAATTATCATATTCGATTTTGTTTTTTCTTTAATATGATTTAAACGTACTCTAATTTCGTTAAATTTACGTTGTAACATTATTCAAATACTATGTACCATATTCCATATCTGACTCCATTTAAAAGCGTATGTACGCATGCACGCACGCTATGCGGTAAATACGTATGTACTGCAGATGTTACATAAAAATTTACGACTTTTTATTAAAAACTGCTTGTATAGGATTTAAGCGGCGTTTTCTTTTAATTATAATTTCAAAGGATGTATATACATGTGAAATTATTAAAAAAATATATGTTATAAAATATATGTACAGAATTTACTCTGAAATCTGCAGTTCCGGTTATTTAACAGTTTATTGCTCGATATATATATTTTTAGTAGTTTTAATTAATTTAAATTTTTGACAAATATTATTTAATTTTGCTTTGCACGTTTTTACATAATTAAAATAGTAAAAACCTTGAACTTAATTTGATCAAAGCTGATTTTGCATGTCTGAACTGCGTTATTTAATTTAAAGAAGGTTGCCATTGATATTCTGGAAGCCGAACGAGGTGTATTGACTACAGTTTACACTTAACACGATTTTATCAAGGTTAATACCCATTGTCGAACTATTTGTTAAAGCATCAATAAAAATACACTTCAATATGCATACTTATATAAACAAATATTAGATATTTTAGAACGAATTCTTCTTATTTTACAAAATTTTTAAAAAGTACGTACACGTATATTTTTATTCATTGCATAAATGACTAAAATCGTCGAAGCTTTTTTGGTAAATTTTTATTCGTTCAACGAGTATTCGTGTATATTAAAATTTTTAATAATTTTCATGTCATTCATGAGTTTTTAATCTTTTCCAGAGTTTCTTGGCTAGATCGGATAGCACTAAGAGCGGTGACATTACGCTAGCGGAATTTATACACTATGTTCGTGAACATGAAAAAAACCTGCGTCTGCAATTTTCTCATCTTGACAAGAACAAGGATGGTCAGTAGATGTACGAAGAAATGATAATTACCTAACATACATAGAAGGGAACACGAAGGTGTCTACACCTATTGGCTAATTTGCTAGAAAGAGTTATTCAAAATAATTTCTTATCCATTTATTTTAAAATACCTTCAATTGAAACGTATTTTACCTTCATTAAATTCCATATTTTTTGTATATATTACATATTATCTTAAGCATTAAAATAGTCCTCGATTTGTTAAATGACGTCCCCCTTTTAATGTAGTTTTCAGATTTATAAAAGGAATTGTGTACTACAGGTCACACAGTGATCATTGAACTAACCTCAATTTTCGGAAGAAAGGAAAAGTTCAATTTATCAGATAAAATTGTTTTTTGCACGGCAATGGTCTCGATAATATTTAATTGAAATGTATTTTACATGACAGTTCATTAATTTTTTATCTTTATACGTTATAAAATTGATCTAAATAATGCAGGCTCTTTAAATGGATTAAATACATTTAGAAATTTATAAAAACAACACGAAGAATAAAATTTCAGCATTCGATTGATCCATTGAAATGAAATTAATTTTTTTTCTTTTTTTCCAATAAATGGATAAAAATTGTTTTATGTAACAACTTTATATGAATCACCCTGTACACAGACAACTATCTCGAGTTTGTTAAATATCGAGAAAATCTAATTATCGTTGTCAAAGAAGTTGCAACTTATAAATTTATTATCATTGTTGTTCTTTTCTTGGTTTATCTGTTATTATTTGTTCTCTTGTTGATAGAAGCGTTAATTAATGCAATGAATAAAGCATAATACGAAACTTGATATATCGTAATTGAAATTTCATTTCGTTAGGTAAAATCGATCTGGAGGAGTTGATAAAAGCGTTTGAAGAATTGGGAATAAAAATGGATTTCAACGAAGCAAAAAAATTGTTGCAACGGTAACTTAAATATAATTTTGCACAGCACATTACTAATTAATTTCTTTCTTAAGTACTGAAAATACAATGTATAATATTAATTTATAGAATGGATAAAGATGGAAGTCTCACAATCAGTTTCAACGAATGGCGAGATTTCTTACTCTATGCACCGAGCACTGATCTTCTCGGTCTTATCGAATACTGGCATCACACAAACGTGAGTAATTATTATTATTTTTATAGTGTATATTAATGTGCGTAGTAATCGTTGTACATTATTTCATGCATAATGTCGTATCTTTACTAAATTGTATTAGACGTGATTTTATCCACTTTTACATAGTTAATACAGTATTATAACGATTATAAATCGAAATGAATCTAACTCTTTGTTTAATGAGAAAAAGCTCAATTATGCCCGTATTTCTCTTCACTGGAACGCAAACGCAGTAACGCGAACGACTCTAAGAGCATTTGCTCTCTACACAGTAATTGTACGATGAACTCGTGGGTGTAGTTTGCATGTGTACGAGAAAACGATCGAGTCGATTCGAGGTTCCTATTCGTCGACGGAGAGGGCTCGATCGGAGGTGTGACGTAGTGGTTGTCATTCAAAATGACCTTGATATCTTCCCAGCTGTTTTCAACACCTTTCCCCGCTGCAACGCACCCCCTTCCCTTTAACTTGATTTCAACACGCATGCGCCCTAGGAACGAATAATTTTCGTGCACATGCGCCATCTTAATTTTGCACGACCGTGCATTTTCGCATAGAAAAAGAAAGAGTGACGAATCGAATGATGCTTCGTGAAGATGGAACTGAAATCTTTTAAGTGTGACCATTTTCTTCGTCGTAGCAGAGTATATTTATAATAGTGAAAACGTTAGTTGAAAAAGAGTGGTTGAAAGAAAGCTATGTTGTATGTGGAAATTCGTATTGATTATATCTCAAGTCATGTTTCATAAGACTTTTGCATAAACTTCTTTAGCAATAATGAGTAAATATTTTGAAGCTTGTTATTGATTAACTTTAAAACAACTTTCATAACTTTTAATTGTTAATTGTTATTGATTAATTTTTAAAACATTTTTCATAACTTTGATAATTTTTAACTGAACAATGCAAGGTATACGATTTTTGTTTAGTAGAACATTGTATTTTATATAGTATACATATTAATACCGGAAAACCATTGATGATACGAATCGATATTTTATAATTATAAATAAGGAAAAATGTTGTTCTTTCATCATCTTGTAATTTGAACTTAGTTGTAAAAGGCGGAACTTCGCAGAGTGGTGAAATATCTCGCAACGTTTCGTCAGCCGTGTGCTCACTATGTGAGGTCATCGTCTACCGGGTACAGAGCGCGGACAGTACTGCACTGCAAATTCTCAAACCCCTGCGCCTAAATAATGATAAGGCTAATCCTTGAAATTTTGACACAGTTAAAAGTTTTTATTATAAGAATTAGCAATTAATAATTTACTATGAAAAAAAATACAATATTTATGCCATAAATTATTCACAGTATTTACAGTGAATATGAGATACATTATAATACACAAATTACTTTCTAAAAATAAATTTTTAACATAAATTAAAAAGTTTTATGTAATATAAATTTGGTATGTTTTGAGGATAAAGTGACACAATATCGCGTACCGAGTGATGACTACCCTCTAGTTCTCACGTGATGACGCATTCATTATTCACGTGTGTATTTCCGTAATGCAGCTGTTCTATGTCTGAAATGCTTTTCAGTATGTGTATGTTCATACATAATGCATGCAGATGTTATCTCTGAGAAAATGTGACATGAACGAAATTTCACCTTTTTCATACCCTACTTTTGTTGCACTCTCTCCATTCAATTTCTGAACAACTTACAAAAGTATTTCTTACAACAGCTGGATAAGTACAGCTGCCACACAAAATTGAATAACTTACCTGTTATGGCATTCAATTTTCATGGCGGAATAGTTAACTTTCACGTGAAAAGAGGCCACGTGGTCACACGTCCTTCTCAAATGTGCTAATTTGCCAATTAAAATACACAATCGTTCCAAATAAGAATAATAACAGAAGCTTCAATTGTTATAATATTTGATAACATCAATATATATCGTTATAAAAATAAATCTGATTGAATAAATTATCCTTGACGGAAATGTAAGAAAATGCAAATTTCATTGAATTGAAAGTGACTTCATTAAATGCCGCAATGCACCGCGAGAAATCATCAAATTTCTTAATGACTGTTGTATATTTTTCGATTAAGAAGAATATATTGTTAAGAAGATAATAAGTTTTACAACTGTATCGATTAAGCGTATTGCAAACACGAAAAAGTAAACCAATTTACAACAGGTACTCTCCTTGAAAGTATGCATTAAACTAAATGACGTATATACACTGTTGGCATTGCAAGGAGTAGTGGGGGATTTCCCTGGCTAGACGAACGATATCTTTGTTTCAGTTCCCGTACTGTTTCTTGGCGCTCCTCAGTCTTGAGATCGGACTCCGAGCTCTCGAATCGCTGGCTAATGGCGAGGCTCGTTTTATTTAGTTGTCTGTGTACTGCGTTCAGCGATTTTCACCTATCGTTATTATTTTTTGCCGCCTGTCCCTTGTATTCGTCTCGCGTTCTGAGACGTGTCAGTTGTACGAATCGTTTTATTGAAATTCCGTTCGATTTTCTAGTTTTAAAAAAGACTTTTCAGTGAGCACAATCCTCATTACATTATTTTAATAATGTACACATTAAAAAAATCAGGATTTCTGAAGCATGATTGCATATCATCCACCTGTCAAGTCTGTGAGGAATTCCTCCAGAATTATCACGAATTGTTACAACGGGTGAGTGTCTCTTTCTGTGCAATAGTAACGTAACTATCTACGGATACCGATAGGGGTAACGAGTACGAATGTGGCTAAGAATTTCACTACGGTTTTAATTTGTCGCGAACTTCAAATATAGTCTTCTCAAGCAGGAGAAGGGGAACTAAAGTTTCACTTTAAGATTATATGGGTTGATCTATGTTCTTTTGTATGAATTTTTTTGTGAAACAACACTTGCTAATTATGGTACATAAAGTCCATTTTTCGAAGTACAAATCCAGGGACTCTTTATGTCGGCATGAATATCTAAGAGGTTATATAGCCGCGTAGAGGTTATGGCTGGCGAAGATATCACGTGGTAGATGATGGAGAAAGCGAAAGTTAAAGAGTATCACTTCGTACTTTCTTCCAGGCTATCTTTAAAATGAAATTTTGTGAAATTAGTTGAACTTCTATAAATGAATTTACGTATAATATGCTCTTAAAATTACTAAGAAAGTTTTATCACGTCGAATTAGCAAAGCGTTACGTATCGTTATTTCGCGAAATCAGTCATTACAAAAATTTAATTAATACTATTGGTACCCACGAATACATAATTTAATAGCATATCTGAATAGGAAGTAATTAGTGTTGCTACTATACCAGTGAACAGTGACAGCTGTTGAAACGAACACGTGTCTGCGAATATTTTATTGTCTGACAATGAGTTAAAATGTTCATGAACACCAATTTTTGTCGTATTATAAGATACGCTAAATAAATTTTTGTGAATATAATGAATCATATTCATTGTGAAAATTGACATGAAAATACATTGGCAAGATGCATGCGTCCGGCAATCGTGGTATAAAACGATGATTCATCGTGAATACAAATCCTTTCCCTTGTCCAGTCCGTTCGAGATTGTTCTGCCTGAGCGTCTCTATCGTGGTGAGAACTTTGCGCGGGAATTTCACAATTGGCCCTGCAATTGGTTCTACTTAAGCGAACGATGTCGAAAATCATATTTTTTAATGATGTTTGAACAACTAGAAAACTATTGATTACATTTCTATATATATATCATTGCATTATTCATAAATTATAAAATAAAAAGCAATTTTTGTTACAGTGCCCAAAACTTTTCTTGTAATACGTATAATAAAAAATTCTTAATTGAATTACTGAATCACAGTCTATGAGTTCTTATCAGTTTCTATTGTACGTTGGATACTGATTACGAAAAGTGACGTTTACATACATACATACATACATACATACATACATACATATATGTATAAGAATATTGTATAATGGTAACAGAATTGCATAATATTCACGCATGCGTCAATGTAAGAAAGACAAATAAGCCTATCTGGTGGTGAAGTATTTCATGTATACTTTTTTGTTCCTACTAAAAATGAAAGTTAGAAATATTTATTCAGAAAGGTCATATAAGAAATAGTATTTTTCAAAATGTTCTTTTTTATTTACAAAAGAAAAAAATATCTTTAAAAATATTTCGAATAGAAATAGTGTACGTTATTAAGGCAAGTATGCACAATACTACGCTGTAAAGTAAGCAATGTACTAGTGACCGGGCGATTGTTATCTGACACTTGAGTCGTGATATCGATTTCCCCGTAATTTCTACCCGCCATTATTTCCATTTGTACTTTGCGATAAGTAATGAATTGTTTAAAATGCGAATCTGTGCATATTGCAATATATTTTGATTGCGTTATACGTCATAATAAAAAATAAATTAGAAGAAGTATCACAAACATTTTCAAAATTTTTATTACAAAAACATAATCAATTTCACAAACAAAACGACAAACGTGTTATTTGCTTGAATAGACAGAGTCATACCTTTGTAAAAAAAGTAATAGTTCCTAATGGAGGGAACTTCAAATACTTAATCGTTGTTAATTAATGCATGTTTCTCTGTAATCTTATCTAAGAATCATTTTAACCAGAATTTTTCAACGTGATCAGATTAAAGTAGAACACGTGTTAAATATCCAATGAACGAATCTTATCTCGTGTAGAAGAATTTTTATTTTGTTGATAATTGTTTCACTGGTACAAAAATTTTTTCTAAATTTCACGGAATTACTACTAACGGACGGAGAACCTGTTAGCGACGGATATAATTAGTTACAATAGACGTGAAGAGTGCATTTAACAAAACTGCTTTAAGTATTTCTAGCTAATTGCAAAGAAAAACAAAAATTTTTTCACAAGTTACTTAACCGCTTCATTGACCAGAAATGGACGTTAACATTGACTTTTCCCAATGTCACTGGCATTTCACGTGTTCAGGCGACATCGTGATTTTTCTATCAAGCAGAAGACGAGACTCGATCATCAGAGTCAAGTTCATCATTGTTAATCAGTTATATTTACTCTAGTGTAGTTCTCAGATTTCCGCTCCCTCCAAGTAATCTTTGTCGCGTGATTAAGGTGTTCTCACATTAAAAAAGAATATCCATCAAATTGAAGGAGATTTTGAAGCCGACATTGGGCGAGACACCAAGTTGCTTCTTGGCTTGCAGCCCGGTTTAACTACAGAAAACTGCACAACTTCTACGTTCCTTTCAGTCTAGCCTAGAACTTATTCGGTCTTAACCGAATTTATCACGTCGTTAACGTAGTCCTCCTAAGAAGTGCACTTCACTATTGTTCCACGATGGACAGCGTAGATATCGATACAGACACCTTTCAGTTTCACCTAAAGTTAAGTATCTATGATCGATATCTTTTTTCGATTTATTTCGCTCTTGAAAAACGTCTGCAATGTAGACGCTTATTTCCTCGTTTGTTTGGTTTGATCCAGTTACGTTCGAATAACGAATACTGTATACGAACGTTAACACAGCCTGTTTGCAATAGTAGCCAACTTTAAATAAGAGTTAAAATTTAATTAAAGTACTCTTCCATATCACCCATATTGAATGAAAAATAGATCATAGATTTTGCAACCTTAAGATTGTCCACCTACATGATTAATGGATGCATTTCACAACGAACTTTCTTTTTTATTATATATATCTTTTATCTGTGCAAATTTATCGATAAAAACCGCTTGTGTAATCAATTAAAGGTGTGCAAGGTCGAAATCTAATTCAGTGAAACCTAACAGCGTCAAGGCTTCTTTGTAGTTATTTCTATGTTTTTTGTGCGTAACTTTTCCGGGTTCAAATTAAATTTTTTTTTTATTGTCACTTAAATCGTTTTGCTGCTCCTTTCATCAAGGAGAACAGCTTCACCGCAGCTCTCCAGTCAACAATTATTTTCTTTGTTCACCATTCTAACGGATAAAAAACAAGCAAATTAATTTTATTTCATGCTTATATGATGACGTATATTATGTCAATGACCGTGGTTACTTTTAAAAACTAGGATATTTAAAAAAAGTAAATAAATGCAGTGTTTAGGTGATAATAAAAAATTATCTCCTCCAGATTTACTAATGTTAATTTACCATAGAATTAGCTGTTTATGATGTACGCATTACTTGACTGCGTGATTCATTAACAAGTCTGCAAAATCACCAAACGTTTTCCTTTTTTTAATGTTTGTATTGACAATTTTAATTTCATGGATTTGACGAGAAGAAATTTAATTGGAAATTTCGTTTTAGAGAATTACACAAAGAACTTCGTTCGTTAATTTGCATAACTTTCTCAAATCGATTACCTAAAACTGAGTTGATTTAAAATGTTAAACTGCTTTCTAAATGTCGGTACCGTCATATGTATACATCAGGGTTCATTGATGGTGGTGCTAAAAAAACTGTTCGTACTGTGGTGTAAGTCGTATATACTGAAAAACGAAAAAAAAAATTTAACCGATGAATTGCAAAATATGATGTAACGTCTGGGATTGATAAAAACAGTTGAAAATCCGTCGAAGTCTGCAAAGTATACAGCTGATCGGAGTTCAAGAATTATCTGACACGTGGTGGTCGGTCTCTACCGGCTCGAACAGTGTAGCTGGCAATGTATTTTAGCCAAACCGGGGGATATAACCAGTGAACACTGGTTCTGAACGTATAGGAATATAAGCGACCGGGGAACGTTTATTTCTCAGATAACGTTCGAAATTGTGCTCCCTTTGAATTTCAAATGGAAACTGAGGATATCTGAATAAATGTAAAATATTTCAATGGATGTATTTACATCGTTGAAGTTGCTAATTGTCTTAGTTCCCTTCTACGAATTTGGCAACACTGAAAGAAACATTCACACCTACACATACCGATTAGATGTTAAAGTTACTGAATATGACGGGTAAAAGGTTAAACATTAACGGATTAATCATGCATGACTTATTGAAGATTAAACCATATTTCCGCGGTACAGTCACTCTCAGTATGCAGAGCGGCTTTTCAATTTCGGTGCGCTCACAAAAGTGATATTACGTGAAATACGTATCAAAGTATAAGTCCAATAATTGTACCCATTATCGTTTTTTCAGTATATGGACATTGGAGAGGATATCGGTGTCCCCGAGGATTTCACAACTAGTGAAATGGTCTCTGGAATGTGGTGGCGACATTTGGTGTCCGGTGGCGTAGCCGGTGCTGTGTCGCGCACGTGTACCGCGCCTTTGGATCGTATTAAGGTCTACTTACAGGTGGGTTTACAATATAAAAATTTTAAGCATATAGAAATCTTCGTTTTACCAAGCAATATGAGCAACTTTTTTTTTTTTACAAAACGAATGTTAATTTAATTAAATTAATTTAAGTTAGTGTAATTAAAGTTTTCGTTAAAATAATATAATTTATGTTCATGAAAACGTAAAAGTTTTTTGCTATAAATGGAAGGGAGTGAATATTACGTATGCAATAAACATTACAATCCAAAGTTAAGCGACTTTAGCTCTGTTTGCTTTACGAAGAAGAATACTTTCAGGTGCATGGAACGCGACACTGCAAAATCACAAGTTGCTTCAGGTACATGCTCCGCGAGGGTGGTTCTACTAGTCTGTGGAGAGGAAATGGCATAAACGTACTTAAAATCGGACCAGAAAGCGCGCTGAAGTTTATGGCCTATGAGCAAATTAAGAGGGCGATCAAAGGAGACGATGTTAGAGAGCTCGGACTTTATGAACGGTTAATGGCGGGATCTTTGGCCGGAGGAATTAGTCAGTCTGCCATATATCCATTAGAGGTAAGAAATTAAATGTAATAAGCCATGATACTCATAGAATATTTATTGTTTTATAATTACATTATAAATTATATGTTGTAGGTGCTCAAAACTAGATTTGCACTTAGAAAAACAGGAGAGTTTTCGGGTTTAGTAGATGCAACGAGGAAGATATATAAACAAGGAGGTTTGAAATCTTTCTATAGAGGCTATGTTCCTAATTTAATGGGTATAATTCCATATGCTGGTATTGACCTGGCTGTTTATGAAGTAAATATGAAATTGAAGTAATTACTCGTTGTTTAATAATATTTAGTTGGAATGTTAATAATTATCCTTTATTGTAGACTCTAAAGAACAGGTATTTACGAACACATGATAAAAACGAACAACCACCTTTCTGGATATTATTACTGTGTGGAACAGCTTCTAGTACAGCTGGTCAAGTGTGTTCATATCCATTAGCACTAGTCAGAACACGGTTGCAAGCTAATATATCACCAGAAAGACCTAATACTATGGTTGGTGTTTTTAAAGATATTATTAAAAATGAAGGAGTTCGTGGCTTATACAGAGGTTTAACCCCCAATTTCTTAAAGGTATAAACTATTAAGCTTACGTGAAAAATAAATTTGGTTAATAAAAAAAATAAATCATTAATTTTATACTTTTTTTTTCAGGTGGCACCAGCTGTATCAATTAGTTACATAGTATATGAAAACGTTAGAGAACTTTTGGGTGTTAATATGACGTGATGATTATTTATTTTAGGTGATATTAATTTAACTAAATTATTCTTTAATTACATATTAAGATATACAAACCAGCCGATCAGTGGCTAGTATAATAAGCAATTTGGCATACCCTGCCTTGTTAAATGTAATATCGCTTATTTATTGCTAACTCGAAGCTTCCACAATTATTTAAGCATTTACTATTCTGTTTTTCAAATGTATCACTATCGGCATATACTAAACAGACACATTTATAAAAGATTTCGAGTAAGAAAGTAAGGTGTAACAAAATGTCCAACACAAGGAATTTTGAATTAACTTTCAAAGAATTCGTAATTTATACACTTTGTGTCCGTATACGATACGTCGTATTAATTATTTAGTCTTATTCACTGTTATGACTTACACTCATATTTTACTTCCGTGAAGCAGAACAAAAGTGTATCCATAATTTCAAAATAGGAACGATAGTACAAAGACCTTTAAAAGAAAAAAAGTATTATGTCTTATAATTTCATTTTGGTTTTTTTTATGGGATGAAAAGAAAATATATAGCCGGTAGTTGTAATTTAGAACAAAAATGTTTTTCATACAATTCGTAAGATGTTTTGAAAATCAGATAATATACACATACAATGTAATTTTATCAAAATGTAAACGAATGTATTATTTAGAAATACATTACACAATATTACAAGTTCTGAAAATAGGAAAATCGAGTTATATTGTTACTGTGATATGTATGGTTATAAGCTAAATTGGAAACATAATTCAGTGTATAACACCTTATCAATTCCAAAAATGTGTTTAACTTTCATTGGGAATACCTTCCAGTCACGTATTTAATATTAATTATAACAATAAATCCTCCATAATCAAGGTGTTATACTATGAATTACAGTGAAAACTGCACTTTCCATTAATCGTTTTTTATAATGTATATGTTAAACTTGTTCCATGAAAGGGTGTTACACCTTTAATATTATATTTGTTACACATACTGTTCCAATATAATTCTCTAATTAATGAATCTTGTGAACAAGTTATGTATATTGTGTATATTATAAATATGTACATTTAGGCTTCATAGAAGTACATGGCGTGATAGTATTATGTCCATAATCTATACTTTTTTCTTTAAAATAATCGTAAAAATAATCATGAGTGTCAAGTAATGGTGATAAAAAGTGATAGTTTTAAAATTTAGCCTTGGACGAAAATTAGGTATTATTCATATACGCATTCTTAAAATTAATGATATCTTTTTATTTTCTCTATCACATTTTTTTACATAAAACATATGTAAATGTAATTTTTGAGTAATTATAGCATTTACACATTGAGTACATAGTACAGAAAAATATAACTGGACGAATATTTTTGATTACATTTAAGTTAATAGCACGCTCACTATGTTTTCAAGCAATTTTGTAAATAAATTTAGAGGAATTATGAAAAAAGAATTATTTAATGCGGCGTGCGAAATTAAAATGTTTTACAGCATTATGACAAAACTGACAAATAAGTCTTGTGCAAAACAACGTGAATTGATAGTTTATTAGTACTTTATATAACTCGATATTCATGTACACGTAAGATTTTTGTAAAAAAATAAACATAATTTATAAATTATTGTAAAAAATTTAATTCATTTAAGAATATACAAAAACATGTGCATCCTATAAAAGTAGTCACTTCTTGCTGTATACCTATTTATCCATATTTATTAATTTTATGTAAACCACCAAAGAATGTCTTTTATGATCTGCCAAATGAACATATAATTCTTTATTACATTGCACTAGATATATCTATTTACTTCTGTATACAAAATAATGATTATGATATTTGTTCTTGCAAATAAAATAATTGTATAAGGATTTCAAATTGCTACTTTGTTAACTATTTCTTAATCTCGTGATATATCCGTATAAATACAGAATTAAATAGAAATTGTTATGGAAATCACGTGTTGTTATATAATATTCTACAAATATTATGATACAAATAATAAAAATATATTCACTTTTTTATGCATATATTTTTTTCCACACAAATTTTAGTATCCATTGATTTTATTTTAATTTTAACAGTTTATTACAGCTTGCAACTTAAAAAAATTAGTAATGCAGTAAAATTGTTTGTTTCTTTTTCTGTCTATTTTGTTTTTGAAACTAATTTACCTTTATTTGAAACACATATTTTAGTCTTTTGCATGTATTATATCCAAATAAAAATAAGAATTGCTGGATATATGTAAATATTTTAGAAGTGTAATACTATTTGTGATATTTGTTTTCGTATACATTTATGAAATATTTTTATCATTTTCATTTGTTACGACTTTTCAAATTTATTAAGATAATGTAACAAATATAATTAAATTGCAATCTAATGATAATGAAAAATAAGTAATGTAATGTAAAAATGCTTATCTCGTTGTATTTTATACCCATTGTAATTTAATGTTTACAAATTTACATGAAAAAATAAAATATCAGAAACTTATACTAAAATGTATAATAGAACAACCTCATATATATTAAATCATACTAACATCACAATAAACAAATATCAATCTTTGAGCAATAAATTACAAAAAATGCTTTCACTTAATTACTTCTCTATTAGGTATCTTAAGTAAAATGCACATACCTATACAAAAGTAAGCTCAAAAAATTTGCTGAGCATTAGGATAAGATATTAACGTGGAATGTCATAGTTAACTTTATTGAACACAGTTTTTAGGCTGTTTCTAAGAATTTTGCAGCATCTTCATCTAGAATCCAATATAGGTATCCATTATGTGGTTGCACACGAGCAGCTGGCAAAATTCTTTCTCTACCTTGTAAAATTCTCTGTGAGATATGAAATGTTAACAGTAAAAATATAACCTTTATATAAAGTACAGCTTAAAGATTACTTTTTTGACCATCAATGAAATAATCACCTTAACAATTTCAGCTTTGCTAGATCCTGTAATAACAAATATGCACTTCTTTGCATTATTTATCACAGGAAGGGTGAAGGTAATACGAGATGGAGGTGGTTTAGGAGAATCATTAATAGGACAAACCCATAAGCTTGCTTCATTTAAAAGCTTATGACCAGGAAAGAGAGAACATGTATGCCCATCTGGACCTAATCCCAAAAGAAGCACGTCAAAACATGGGACACGGTCAGGAGGGAAAAACACAGACATCTTCTTAATGTAATCTTTTGCAGCATCTTCAGCTATAAATAAGATGGTCAATATGATTACACAAGTGGTACTTCATAAAAATGGAGATAAATTAAGAGATATTAATTTACCAGAAAGATCAGGATTAATTTTTATAAACTGCTCTTCAGTTACTGGTACTTTTCCAATCAATTTTGTTTTATAATCTCCATAAGTAGAATCACTGCTATCGAAAGGAACAATTCTTTCATCACAGAAGAAAAAATACCATCTACTCCAATCAGTTGTAATATTAGGTAAAGTTTGTGCCAATAATTGTACCAAAGATCCCCCTGAGAAAGGAAGCATTTTATAATCCATTATGGAGTAAGTATTTCAATATATAAAATGATTTTTATTTTTTCAAGGTTATAGAATGTAGTAAAGGTATAAAATAACGTAAAAGTGAAAAATAATAAATATCAGAAAAACAGTACTTATCAGCTAGAATAAAAATGAAAAAGAGAAAGCTAATAAAATATTAACTATAAAATTTTTTATAACGTGTATAACCTATAAATATGCGTATTTTAAATGCAGATAATACTGTAATTTTTCCTTTAAAATGTACCTCATAAGCACGCAATATTTTAATATAGGTGATTAATAATTTGTTCTAACATTTTGGACGCAACAAATCAAATTTGTAGTTATTTGAGACATATCACCTGATAATCCAACTTTGAATGTATCACCACTTGCCAATACATCTTCGGCACTTGTTTGGAGAAGATTAGACAAACATGATGCTACGAGTCCGTCTCGAGGCTCGATTAGTATTTTCTCCATTACTTATAAGTAGTTTTTAAACAGCACTTAAATTTCTAATCGCAAATAAACGAGGAACTCGACACGAATAGTGGAACTTGCGCAGAGTACAAAGATGCAAGGTAGTACAGTGGAACCTCGATAACTCGAACCTCAAGGGAAGGGAAAAAATCTTCGAGTTATAGAGGTTTCGACTTATCGAGTTTTCGAGTAGGAGAGGTCATTAGTAATATCCTTTTTTTTTCTTGATTCAGTTTATAATGTTTCAATTATGTTTATTTTATCAGCCAATGTTAATGTTTTCCGCTTGCGTTTAGAATTCATTTTGTTACATATAATCCGAAGAATAGAATGAGAAACGATAAAACTGTGCTTTAACTTATTCCTTCAATCTTTCACAGCAAACTGCTCTATAAAGAAATAAACAATTGACAATCGTTGAACCGTTGATATTATTGGATCCTATTGGAAATTAACATCAATTTGTAAAGGTTGGAATTCGAATTGTAGAAGTAAAATACACATTAAACGTGCGACAAATAATTCGAGTTAACGAAAGTTTTATTTCGAGTTGTAGAGGTTTTTACAGTGGAGCGGAAGGGAACGAAGAAAATTTTCGTCTTATAGAGGTTTTCGAGTTATCGAGGTTTCATTGTATTGGTTATATAGCATTGGTTAACGGTGATCAGAATACAGCATTGGGCATTCACGATGACACGTGATAAACTTACGATAACTATCGCTTAAACGTTAATATGATCCCGCTGCCAATCTGTCTTGTACATGAATATATCTTTAATCGACATGAATGTGGGATATGAAGTATATCGTTTATTAAAGAACAATTTGTAATTTATGTTTAATACTTGTATTCTTTATTGTTATAACCTATGTTTAAATACAGTAGCAATATTAATTTGTAATCGATGTTTCTTAATTCTTTTGAAATTAAAGCGATTTCATTCTTATTATGTAAAAAGCGAAACGCAATTATTTATCAATTTAAATCCAAAGTTATAAAGTTGATTATGTTTATAAAATAAATCTTATTACAAATTTCAGGTTATGAAATTTCCAATGATAAGTGGAATACTTGATTCATTGAAATATTATGATCCAGCCAAAATGCATAAGAGCCCACACTTACTAAAAGTGCTTTAAATCATTGTTAGTCAATTATTTGGAAATACAACATTACAATCATGTCATTTTGTATGCGACTTGCTCGCAATAAACTTATTCGTTTAGTAGGAGGTATAGCTATGAAATGTTGGACATTCTCTGGAACTTGTATACTTGCCTGTTTCCTTCTATATTGGTTGTATGGGGGAATATCTGCTTTCTTCCTACTTTGTTTTGCCACTACATGTAAGTTTATTAATATTTCCAAAAGAATACTTCGAGATTTAACTGTAATACATGTGTATCATTATTTATATTTGTAGGTGTATTGTACCATGGAGAAGATCAACTTGTGTATTGTCCAGATTGGCCAGCTAATTCTCGGGTATATGTTCCTGCACCTTCAATATTTAATTTACCTTATCAAAGTATTTATATTAGATCAGGAGATGGTACAATGTTACACATGTTCTTTATTTCTCAACCAGAGGATAGAGCAAAAAAGGTGCCTACTTTATTATTTCTTCATGGCAATGCTGGTAATGTGGGACATAGGTCAGTGATATTTAATATCTTACTATATAATTTTATTTTAAAACTTAAGATAATTCTAGAATCATTTTAGATTAAAGAATGCAGTTGGATTGTATCATAATATCCCATGTAACATTTTAATGCTGGAGTACAGAGGCTATGGTTTATCACAAGGTTCACCATCTGAAGAAGGTTTACATATGGATGCTCGTGCTGGAATTGATTATCTATCTAGTAGAACTGATATAAATACAAATGAAATAATTGTATTTGGCAGATCATTAGGTATAT